AAGTGCACGCTGAAAAAGTTCAATTAAAATTGATGTTGCAGAGTTTGGTCTTAAACTGCCCATCCCCGCCCCCTCAAAATACAAATAGCAATGGGGTCAGTGACCCATGCATCTGTTTCCCTCAATCAACGGAAGTCGATTTAGCATGTTGTAATACATAATGTAACTGAATTATTGGCAGGTCTGGTCGACGAATACGCCGACCACTGCATGCGACATTACAGACAGAAATCTATTATTCCAATGACGACGCACTCTACATTTACATCATTGTTATAATGTAAATACAACAAAATAAACATGCAAGCACTAAAGCAGACCAAAGCAAAAAAATTTGGGGACCTATGCCATACGAGAGAATGACTTGTATGTGCGACTATCAAGTAGGAAGAGTACCAATCGGTCGTCATACTAACTTGGTCTAACTTCCATTTTATCACCGAAAAATTTGCATTGTAACTGGAAACAACAGGGCCAATATGGAAAACGCAATGAACCATATAAATTAGTCGTATGTCGATTCTTGAAGTAAAAGCGCTTTGATTGCGCATTGTTGCTTGACAGCTGTACAAAGGAGTTTTTTTTATCTATCTATAGACAACTCAGTGGAGACAAAGGGTTATCGCCAACTGCTCCAGGTGAAAGAAGTTTCCGAGGAACGTCGTTGTCATCATTTGCTTTCCGAGAAACTTCAAAAAGCCCTGCAGTGCGGTATTTTATAGAACAAGTCTCTTTAGTATCGCACCCTCCATAACTCAGGGCTCAAGCTTGAAATGCATTTGCAGAAATGAAAAAAACATATATAACAGTGAAATCTGACTAATAGTTTGCATTGCCTGTAGTCGGTACACCCTACTGCATGCACCATGCTCTATTGGTTGGCGCTGTTACATTATGTAAAACCCGTGACGGTCATTTTTTTTTTTAAACAAGTACACAAACATACACATGTACAAGGAAAGTCACGGTAATCCTATAGCCATGATCCCATAGAGGAAGTCCAATTAAAAATCTGTGACGGCAGAGCCGACCACACAATGGTAACAATATAAACAGATCTCGTCACACGTATTGTATAATTTGACGTACAAGAAGGTAATGCTTGTGACGATCGTTTCAGGTGCTTGACTGTCACGAGCAAGTTTGGGGGAAGCATTGACCCCTGTCTGAAATAAGACAGGCATATGCTAATTTGACTCTTCTTAAGTAGCATATTGGAAACCAGAAGTGCTTCATCATCAAGCGGTTTCTATAAATATTTTTTTGACGATCTGGTTTGCCCTTTATACGAACATACCCATGAAAGATAGCAGAATCTTCGTTCAAAGGTCTGACTCGATAAACTTCGTGATTGATCATGAATTAGTGGTCCAGGCTGCAGCAAGGTAGACATGGCTTAACCCGAACTTTAGCTTGCATATCATTTTGGAAACGACATTTCTGGGAAAAGGTGCTTCGACAGCAGATCATTTCTAAGAATTTAGCAAGCAACGAAACATGGCGGTTTATGATGTATCCGAAGAAAAGACAAATGGCACAAGACTGACACGACTTCTGGTTGATGGAGGAACGCATGTTCTAAAAGAGTTCCTTCATTCCATTTATCCTCGCGATAAATTACAGATCGTTTTAAGCAAAAACCGTCCAAAACTTCATAGTCTGAAGCTGAGCCGTGTAATATTTGATAGCCAGTGGGAAAAGTTATTTCCTTCATCAGGAGACCCACCAGACTCAGATACTTTTGATATATCGCTTTTGCATTTGTTGATTCGAGAAATTTGTCATTTGACGGCACCTTTAACTGGATGGCACAAAATGCCCACCGAAGATGATGACAGCGTAGAGGCCAACATTGCCAGAATCAAATGCTTCCGTAATGAGCTATGTCACGGTACCTCTACCGGCGTTCCCAATGATGAATTTGAAGAGAAATGGAAGCAAGTATCTTCTTGCTTAGAGGCACTTGAGCTATACGCTTACCGACAGAAGATTGAGCGCCTGAAGAGCGATCCTATAGATCATGACATACAACGTCGAGTGGAGGAACAAGTCGATCAGTGGGAACAGCTTGATAAGTCCATCAAAGTTCCAAGCTGCCTTCCAGACGAAATTCCCGGAGAACTTATGTTTGGCCGTTTACACGAGACACAACAAGTTACAGAAGCCATACAAAGTGGATCAGTCTCAGTTGTCTGGATTACCGGCGGACCGGGATTTGGGAAGACCACAGTGGCTAACAAGGCCGCTCATGAATTGTCCAGGCTTGACTGCGAACGAGCAGTACTGTTCTGTTCCTTAAGGTCTACGAAAAGCCTGAGTGAAGCAGCTACGTTAATGACACTTGCTTGCAGTGAGAACCAGACGCAACCACCAGAGAATCCCCAACATTGGCTTCTAAACTGGAGCAAACAAAAGTGCTCGAGGGTCACTTTCGTTCTTGACAATGCAGATGAAGTTCTTGAAGACAGTGATTGTATAAACGAGTTTTTAAACCTTTTGGAAAATATGAGAAGGCTTTCAGGACAAAATGTCACGTTTATTATTACCTCCAGAATGGCATGCAGCACAACCAGTTCACAATCTAAGAATGTTCGATTAGCCTGTTTGCCAGTAGAAGAAGCGAAGCAGATTCTTCTTTCGCGAGTCGCTGATTTGGAAAGTCGGGCGAAACTTTCCAAGGTGGAAAAATTGGTCGAGCTTTGTGGTTTTGTCCCTATTGCCCTTTGTATTGCTGGCTCGTTGCTCTCAGACTATAATGAAGATGAACTCATACAAAGTCTGGAAGATGAGCCCTCGGATGTCCTCCAAGTCGGTAGAAGGTCCACCGACCAAACTTCAGTCGAAAAATCAATCAAGAGATCTTTTGAGATACTTCACGAAGTGGAACAAAAAGCCCTCGTTCTGTTATGTGTCTTTCCTGGCTCATTCAATTCTGATGCGGCCAAGTCTTTGATTGCAAACTGTACAACAAATGCCAAATCAGTCTCAGTTCTACAGGAATTGAAAGACAGATCTCTTGTCGAGCAGTTGAGACCATGCAGATACCAGGTACATCAGCTCATTCAAACATTTGTGCAGAAGATCGCCTCGGACAAGTATCCTGGCCTCTTAGATCTGGGAGAGAAACTGGCCTGTGCGCACTTCATTTCTCGCCTTGCTGACAACGCTTATCTCTACTGGAGCAAGGACACCTGCAAACAGTCTGTGGACTCCTTCAATGAGGACAGGCACAACTTCGAGTACTTCCTTCAAGTTTACACTCACATGCGAAGGAATATCGAAGACCAAGAAATTGTGAAATCCTGTAAAACTTTCCTTGATGATCTTCCCCAGAAGTGCATGTATCTAGAAAAGTGTGTTCTTCCGAGATTTTACATTTTTGTTCTGGAAAGATTGTTGGAAATGTTTCACTCAGAATCTGAGCCAGTGCACAGAGTGGAACTTTTGTGTATTCTTGGACACGAAAGCAGGAAAAAAGGAGACAGGGAAAATTACCAAGAGTTCATGAGGGAGGCCGAAGAAATTCATACAAAGAATCGTGTTGACTTTGAAACACATCCATTATCAGAAACTTATTTCCGCAACAGTTGTGCTCGCTTTTTTTCGGGCAAGAAAGACCCCCTTGAGAACAAAAGAAGAGATCAAGAAACTGAAGCTGCGTTGAAAGTCAGCCGTGAAAACCTAGGCGATCACCCGGAAACAGCAGCAACTCTTTTATTAGCAGGAATAATTGCACAACGTCGTAAAAAATGGGATGAAGCAGAACAGAAGTTTTTTGCGGCGTGGGAACTCTTTAAAAAGTGCCTTGGGAAGCACTTTATGACTGCTGAAATTCTCAAGGCCATTGCGGACCTTCACGCCGGTAACTTTTTTCGTCAGAAGAGCGAGACCGAGTTGGACAAATCCCTTACTTATTATGCACAGGCTATTGAAATATTTGAGGACCTTGAATTTAGACAAAGCAAAGAGAGTATCTCGACTCTAAAGAACTTTGGAATGTGCCACATGAGGAAGGGTAACTTAGATGAGGCCATGGCTTTACTTACAGAGGCAGACGAGATTGCCGAGAAAGAATTAGAACCTTGTCACACATGGAAAGTCAAGACAAAGACTGCACTAGCCACCTTACATGACAAAATGGGAAATGTAGACCAGGCGAAAGCCGTGATGCATGAAGGGCTTTCGATGGGCAAAAAGCTAGATCTGGAAATAGATGAGATGGGCAACAAATACGAAATACTAGTATTCATTAATCGTCATCCACAGACGTTCCCGGAGATAGAATTTCCAAGTGAGTAACGATTTTCAGAGCTTTGAAACCAGTAGTTACTGAGAACAGCGCAATCGTTTGTCTGGTCCGAAATTAAAGTAGTCTTCTAGATGGTTTCTTTATCTTTGCCTCGCAAGGTGTCTAGCCTTCACTTGACCATAAAATGCAATTTACAAAAAGATAGTATCGGTGGTAACGGCGGAAGTCCTTTATTTCGCAATTCTTTGTCTGTTGTTACAAATTGATCGTACCTCAGTGAGNGAAGTGTGACATCAAATGATTTCGAGTCTGGTGGGTCACCTGAAGGAGGAAATAGGATTTCCCACTGACTTTTGGTGATGAATTTGTTCGTGGAATGTAGTTTTGTAAGCTTTCCTTTGTTGTTGTTGAACACTGCCTGTAATGTTGCAGGAGGATGAATGGAATGCAGAAACTCTCTTAGCACGTATGTCCCCCCATCAATCACTAATCGCAACAGCCTTGTGCCATTTGTTTTTTCCTCCGAAGCGTTAAGAACGGGCGGCATCTTTACGAAGGATTTTGGTCAGAAAAAGCTTAACGACACACTGCAAGCACAGCTTTTACTTTCGGTGAGCATGCTCAGCGCGTTACTAAGATACAGTTTCGAACCCAGGCCGGATCGCCCTTCAAGTAAAATGTACACAGAGTGCAAAGAAGAGTCGGCATGAAGAACACTATAAAAAAGCTGGGGTTTTGCATCCTACCCTTG